TTATTATATTTTTTAAGTTAAAAAATAATTATTTTTAATAAATAAAAATAATTTTAATTATTAAAATAAAAATTAAATTATTAAATTATATATAATAATAATAAAACTTATGTAAATGTATTAACAAATTCTTAGGTACGGAAAAAAATAAAAATCTCTGCAATTAAGGTAAGAAATAATCTTCAATTATCCATTTTGAAAAAATCAAGCCTCTTTTATTTAGTTTTATCCTACGCACCTCCGTCTTCTTATCCTGCGCATCTGTCTCCGCCTTCCTTGTATCAGATCTCTAAGCTCGACGGGCAATAACAGTCTCTCATCGCAGTGATCCGAGTACAGACTATTCGCCTGACCTCATCGGTGCTCGATTTCCGGTGCTGTTTGATCTTTTCTTTGTTTGATCTTTTTCTTTTAGTTTTTGCTTTTTAGTATTTTATTTACGAACTTGTTTCTGTTTTGTGGATGTTCACCGGCATGCGATCAATGCAATTGGTAGATTTTTCAGTTCATTTCTTAAGTAGATTTAGCACTGAATTTGTATATTTTTTGAGTTTCTTCTTCGATTTCGATTTTTTCTCGTTTTGCAATCGCGTTGATCTGCCTGTTGGTTGATTGAGCTCCATTGATTAGATGATTTGACTTGCAGGATTGGATTAGATATTCGTTAGATCAAATTTTAGCTGATTCGTGCTAAATTCTGTCATCCAATCGCTATTCTAAGCTATTTGAAGTGAATTGACTGGATTGACTCTGTGTGGAAATTTTTAGTGTGCTGAACAGCTGGTGCTAAGAATATTGGAATTAATTTCAAATTTTCTACGTGTTCTGGACGCATAGGCTTGACTTGTTTATATGCTGCTTATAGAATTCAGTATGTTAATAACTAATGGGTATGTCATGCTTCTGGAAAATGCAGATTTGTGCCGGTGATTAGTTATTCCAATTGCTAAGATGCATTTTAACGTCTATAAAAGTTAATCTCTGCCAAAAATGTTTAAGTTGTCTCCACTTTGTTTAGAATAATATGCTTAAGAATAAGGTTCTAGTTGAAATTAATTGTCCATCTACCATAGGTATGGAATCTCTAAATATCAAGGATTCCCTGGGTTGTATTATATGTTCCATGTTATTGGCGTTCGTGTGGTCATACATTTTATGAGTTTATAATTGTTATGAGATGTCTTTTCTCAAAGAAAAAAAAATATTGTTGTGAGAAGCCAGTTTAAACAGAGTTGAGGTAGCTGCTTATGTATGAAAGTGAAACAAACAAGCTTTTACATGGGCGTTTAGATTTGAAGATATGAATTAGTTGATGGCATGATTGTGTGTTGAATATAACATGGTAGAATGAGATGTGGCTGGTTAAATAGTTTATTTGGTATTTGATAAGATAATCATTCAATGCAAGTCAGCATAGTTGACGCTTGAATCTTTTGATTCCTTCAATCTTATTACAAGTCTTGTAGGATCATGGTGGTTACATATTTGTGTCTAGGGTTGAGAAAACCCATAATTTGGAGTAGGGGACAAGAAATTGCCTGTTACTGGTGAATATTTTGGAAACAAGGAAAGAATTTGAAGATCACTAATATTTGGATCTTAAGCAGTAATTTTCATATTCTTTGCTGCCAAGGGTTGGTTCACAACCTGAATACATACAAAATGGAATGCATCTATCCTACTTCTGTGAAAACACGGTCAAGCACATGTAGAGAATTTTATTTTAGGGGATTATTTTGCTCAGTTTGTGAGACTTTATTGTCTTTTACATTTCTGTTTTATATCATTTAAAAACCTTTATAGTGTATTCTTAAAATTAATTTTTACACTTGATTTTTAGGAACTAGAGAAATCTTAAAGGATCATTGAATCATGAGCTGCTTCAGCTGTTGTGGAGAGGATGAAATACATAAAGCTGCCGATGGTGGAGGGCAATACATGGTTAAAAATTCAACAGGTAATAAATGGTCTAAGTTGACATCAAGGCTTGTTATTTCTTAATCAACATCAATGTGAAACGTATATACTAAACTGCATTTTCAACTCGGTGAATTAGTTGAATTAATCATGATCAAGTTGGAAGGACTGAAGTTATCATCATCATCATCATCAATCTTTCTGCATTTTGTTGGCAAGATTAGAAAAGTTTCTTCTGGCTATTTACTTTTAAACTGCCTTTAAGCAATCTTTCTCCTTGTATTGTTTGTCTTATGAAACTGTTGGCTGGTCTGAGTTGAATTTCATCACACAGGAAATGATGGAAACTATCATACTTCAGAAACTACATCTAGAAGTGCTCAAGCTGTGAAAATTCAGCCCATTGAAGTCCCAGCTATTCCTGCAGATGAACTAAAGGAAATTACAGAAAACTTCGACACAAATTCTTTGATAGGAGAGGGCTCATATGGTAGAGTATTTTATGGGGTTCTTAAGAGTGGACAGGCTGCAGGAATTAAAAAGTTGGATGCTAGCAAACAACCTGATGATGAATTTTTAGCCCAGGTTTAGTCAACAGATATAATTTACACACCTTACTGTTTCTTGGAGTTTATGTCATGTTTTCACATCTATGTCAATTGATCCATGGATTTTCAGGTTTCCATGGTATCAAGGCTGAAGCATGAAAACTTTGTTCAATTGCTTGGTTACTGTGTGGATGGGAGCTCTCGTATACTTGCCTATGAGTTTGCATCTAATGGATCACTTCATGATATTCTTCATGGTATGTGAGATTATGCTTCAGTGATTACTTTTGTTCAGCAAATTTGATGCCTTATTTCATGCTTGAAGGAAGGGTATTTCATAGTGCAGAAACAAAATTCAGAATCTGATTTGGTTCTCAGTTCTGAAGTAATCTTTGTCATGCTGCAGCATGAAGTAATAGCTTCTGCTTAAATTTCTTAGTGTCTCTCTCTCATTGTTTTATTATTCTTCCTCATTTGACATAAAATATGTGGTTCATATAACATCATTCTCTTATTGCAGGAAGGAAAGGTGTGAAGGGAGCGCAGCCTGGCCCAGTTCTCTCATGGGCACAGCGAGTAAAAATTGCTGTAGGAGCTGCAAAAGGGCTTGAGTACTTGCATGAAAAGGCTGATCCTCACATCATTCATCGTGATATCAAGTCCAGCAACGTACTAATATTTGATGATGATTTGGCAAAGATTGCTGACTTTGATTTGTCTAATCAAGCTCCTGATATGGCAGCACGTCTTCATTCCACTCGTGTTCTTGGAACCTTTGGTTATCATGCTCCTGAGTAAGCTAATTATTCATTCTTTTAAAATTGCTTTCTTGTTCCTTTTGTTTTGCTAGATATCCTATTCGTTATTGAATAATTGAAGGTTCTTGGGTAAGCTTTAGTTACTAATTTAGATATGAGAGGAGATTATGCCCTTAGATTCTTTTCAACAATCATCAGTTGCACTTTGGAACCTTCAACTTGATAAAGAAACCTTCACTTGATGATTGAGATATTTAGAGAAAAACTTGGAAAAGTTAGAATAAGTTCAGTATGCCAAATTTCTGTTTTAAAAATGCTTGAACAAATAAAACTTGTGTTGAGCGGTGTCTGTTTTGTGGTTGGCAGATATGCAATGACCGGGCAATTAAATGCTAAGAGTGATGTTTATAGTTTTGGTGTTGTCTTGCTTGAGCTTTTGACAGGGAGAAAACCTGTTGATCATACATTACCTCGTGGACAGCAAAGTCTAGTTACATGGGTATTTTCTATCTACTTTTTATCTTTTATTATCTCAGTTATGTCTGCTTAATTCTAAAATTTTTGAAACCAAGGAGAATGCTTCTTTAATTTTCATGGTGATTAATAGAAGTTTGGATTATGGTTAGGCTACTCCAAAACTAAGTGAAGACAAAGTAAAGCAATGTGTTGATGCAAGACTAGGAGGGGATTACCCTCCTAAAGCTGTTGCAAAGGTATTTATGCTTTGTTTTCAGTCTTATTTTTACAGGTGGGTCATGGGAGTGTTTTATTTATATTGTTTCTGAGAACAATTATTTCATTGACTTTTGTCCTTTACATGAATAATTATTCATCCAAATTTCCACTGTTGTATACAACAACCCCACTCCCAAAAAGAAGAGAGAGAAAGAGAGAAAGCACAAAAGAAATGAGATTAGAAATTCCTTTTTGGTGTCCTTCTAGTCACCACACATTGTTAATATTGTTAATAAACCCTAGACTTGGATGTGGAAAGTTATGTTACTTTGAGTAAGAATCTGATGATCCATCTGCACCTAAAGCCTTCTATTTGAACCTGATTGCAGATGGCCGCTGTTGCTGCCTTGTGTGTGCAATATGAGGCTGATTTCCGGCCAAATATGAGCATCGTTGTCAAAGCTCTTCAGCCACTGTCAAATGCCCGACCTGGACACGGTGGTGAAACACCAAGCACATAAGACTCTGTTTCTCTTGAACCTATATGCATGTGCGGACATGGTTCAGGCATTCAAGCATGCAAAATATACATAACGAAGGAATTGTTTTAAAATTTGTTTTAATTTGTTTATTCTACTTTCCATGTGCCTTCATTATATACGCTGTATTCTATTTGTTCATAATGCGTGAGCTTCTTTCTTTGTTGCATCTTTGCCACTATTTTTTTTTTTTTTTGTTTTTTTGGACTAAATGTCACTAATATTCTTTCTGATTTTTATATAATTGATTTCTTTATTCATTCCAATAAATTGTTGCATGCAATGTGGGAATTGGGGCGCTATCATATGGTGGCTTGTGATTTGGAAAGTTGCCCTCAAACCTTCAGCATTTGAAAAAGGTATAACCTAATCCTTCAGCTTCTGACCGTGGCGGGGCCTATTCTTCTGTCTTTAAAGTTGGACTTGATGGTATTGACTAATGACAGTGATTTTGTTGGTGGACGATTTTGTTCCTTTTTAGTGAGTGTCGATGGGCGATTTTGTTTGTAATCCAGTATTTGATTGATTTAGGTAAACAACAGTACAACACAATCAATAATTTGACAATTTCTCTTTTCTTCTTCATCTTGAAACCCAAATCAACATTTCTTTTTTGAGATCATCAAACCTTATCACCAACTGAAGTCTTTTTATATCTCCAATTTATAGACGCCACCATCACGAGACTAGGAGAAAAATGGACAAGCATGTCGGCAACGAGATAAGTAAACTTTTGTTGTCAATTCAATACTTAAAAGACGCATGTTGATAATTTCTGTCCGTTCCCATTTGGTGCATTACTAGAAATTCAGGATTTCCCACCACGGTAATGAATCCAGCATCATTAATGTATGGTGACGCAATTATGCAAATCTTGGAGAACATTAACTACTAAGGAAACAGGTAAAACAGTCCGAAGCACCTTCCAATTAGCATCATATTGTCACATTCCACACGCTAAGTTATTAAATGATTGATTCGCTACATTCAAAATTTTATTTATAATAATATATACACTTACTTATTTTATAACACATTATAATTAAAATTTATAATTTTAAATGATATCAAAACTATATATATCATTGCCGAAACATTAAGGTAAGAGAATCAAAGTGATATAAACCCTAGATAAGAATCCTATTCTGACTTGGCATCAAGGTAACTTGCAATTGGAACCCTGGTATATACGGATATGGATTGAAGGTCTCAGTTTCTTTTGGCTAATTTTTCTCTTCTTATAAAAGAAAACGAAAGAAAAAGAAAAAGAAAAAAAAAAGGCAGAAAGAAAGTCTTTCTGACCTTCCCCGCTTTCTTCCAAATCAGTACAGTAAAAAGTAACAAACGCGTTGACTGTACAATATTTCACAATTACCCCCATCTCTTCCGCAATAAACGCCATTAACATAGGGCTAGGAAGGTAAAAACACATTCCCACCTTCTCCTTTGTCTCTGCTCCAAAATTCGATCTCAAACGCACCGCCCCACACACTCCACAGTCGCCGAAGAAAGCGAAGGGTTCGAGAACTCTCTTGGATGCTAAAATAAGCCGACTTTCGTGCTATCGTGCGCCACACATGGGAGGAGATGTGACCGGAGCGACCACCAGCACTGCTCTCACTGCTGCGGCTCCGTTCGGCAACGCCGTCGGAGGTGGCTTGGCGGAGCCGCAGTATGTGTCGGCGAAGACGTCGGTGTGGTGGGACATTGAGAACTGTCATGTGCCCAAGGGTTGCGACCCGCACGCGATCGCGCAGAACATAAGTTCCGCGCTAGTGCAGATGAATTATTGCGGTCCCGTTTCCATCTCCGCCTACGGCGACACCAATCGGATCCCGGCGTCTGTCCAGCAGGCACTTTCAAGCACTGGCATCGCGCTCAATCACGTCCCTGCCGGTAATACGTCTATATCCAAATACCTAAGTCACTTGAGCAATTTATTCTCTGTAACTGTGGTTTGTGGACAGCCATTCTTTTGAAATTAGTATATAGTTGATGCTGGATTGATTCGATTCATTGCAGAAAAGTTGGATAAAACCCTTTTTTTTTTTTGTGATGATGCTGTGTTGAGGAACATTCGATTACTCATGTTTCTTTAACTTGTGGTGTTCTTAAAAAAGTAGGTTTTTCTTGTGATTTCTCAAAATCTTGTTTCCTACTGCTGCAAATTCAAGTGTTAAAGCCTACATGGTTATTTTGCTTTTCTGGAAATTCAAACAAATTAAGAGTTGATGACTGCATTTATGATTTTCTTGTGTGTTGTTTTTGTTGATATGTTAAACAATGAACAGGTGTCAAAGATGCTAGTGATAAAAAAATTCTAGTTGATATGCTGTTCTGGGCAGTGGACAACTCTGCTCCTGCAAATTATCTGTTGATTTCTGGCGATAGAGATTTTTCTAATGCTCTTCATCAGTTAAGGATGAGGAGATATAATATTCTTTTGGCACAACCAAATAAGGCATCAGCAGCACTTATTGCTGCAGCTAAGAGTGTGTGGCTTTGGACAACCCTTTCAGCTGGAGGGCCACCTCTATCAAGTGGTGAATCATCTAAGCTTGCTAACAGTCATGGTACCTTCAATTCTGAAATGTCATATAACCCGGTTCCTGAATTTGTTCAATATAGCCAACCAATGTTCTTCAATTCTGAAAGCCTTCATTTTGCAAATCAAAATTCTTCTACCCTTGGAAGGAATGGTGATAACAAATATAAAGGGAAACATATTCAGAAAACTCCATATCAGGCAAGCATATCTAAAGCCTCAAGTGCGCCGATTATCACTCAAGAAAATAAGAACAGTTATCCTTACCAGCTAGACCATGCACAAGCAAAGCCGTTTAAGAAAGCACCGCATGAGTTCTTTGGTGGCAGTGAGCCTGCTGTTTCTGCAAGCAAGTCTACTCCCAATTTCTTCCCCAGCAATGGTGACCTGTCTGGGAACAATGGCAATAGTTTTATGGGAGTTCCTCAAAATCCTCATCCGAATTCTTTCAGGTCTGGTAATCTTCCCCTGCAACCTACTGTTATGCAAGATAATCCACTACCTCCTAGTTCTCAGAATCATGGATTTCACCCAATTCCTCCTAGAGCAGAAGGCCCTAGATTTTCTGCACCCCCTCTCCAAAATATGCCTGATATTGGCAAGCTAAGTATGTCTGAATATCCTAACTATGCGCAACACCGTTCTAATTTCCATCAGCGATATGGAGAGGAGTACAAAACAAGCTCTATTGAGTTGCCAAATCAACCTAGTCTTAGCGTACAACAGAAGAGCCATATGCGACCAACTGGCCAAGCAGTTAAGCATGATCCTTTTAGTCATAGGTATCCCCGTGGTCCTGACTTTCGACCACCACCACCATCACCACCACCCTCTATGGCTGGCACTGCACCTAATAATGGTTTATGGGGAACTCAAGGATGTTCACCACCTTCTGAATATGTGCAAGGCCTTATTGGTGTTATCTTACTTGCTTTAAACACACTGAAGAATGAGAAAATTATGCCTACTGAAGCAAACATAACCGATTGCATTCGTTATGGAGATCCTAAACACCAGAATACAGATGTAAGGAAGGCTTTGGATAATGCAGTTGAGCAACATATGGTAGTGAAGCAAAGTTTAGGTGTTGTGCAGTTGTATGTTGGTAGAAATGAGAAACTATGGAAGTGTGTGAATCCCATAGGTGGGAATCCTATTCACTATCCAAAGACAACATGGGATAGAATACAGAAGTTTTTAACCTCCACTGAAGGAAAATCTGCAATAATGGCTTCTCAGTGCAGGTAAAACTTGTTCAATGATCTGTATCTCTCTTTCATGGTTTTTTTCCTCCTTAAACTTGTTCTGTCATCTACTCTGCAGATATGAAGCAGCTTTGGCTCTAAAAAAGGCATGTTTGGAAGAACTTGCTTTGGGTGATGTTCTCCAGATCTTGAATATGATAGTTGCTGTGAAGAAATGGATTATTAATCATCCATCTGGATGGCAACCCATTAAAATTACCCTTGCAGAGACTAAAACTGAAGCAGATACTGGAGAGTGGCTCTAAGTCAATAGGACAAGGGTGATTCTGAAAGAACTACAATTACTTATTAACTAGAAAGATACTGGTAGAGAGCAACTTTTTCTTCATAAAATCAACTAGTTAGGCTTTTTAGTTTCTGTGTTTCCTTTTTTTTACCTCTTTTAGTTTGCTGGGAACCTTGATATGCATCTGCTGAACAATGACAACCGGTTTGGGTGCGAAAGAGGATGGTGAGGAGGCTTAAGACTGAAGGTCACATTAGAGTGTAATTTTTCTGGAGCTGAGTCAAAGTAGAGCAAGCGTGTACCTTCCCTGCATCATAGTCCACTCTTTGAAGGTTGTTTGTGGCTCCATTGTTAACCATGTTGCTCGAGTGCATTAGTACCAGAAAAAGCTAAAGCCGTACTTCCATCCAGTATGATATGTTCATGGAGGGGTGGCAATCATTGTTTTTGTGATTCCTCAAGCTGGTTATGTAGCTCCAGTAACCAGGTTATTCTTCTTCAGCTTCTCCACAGCATAATATTTGTGCAGACTTATTAAACTACAAAGCTCTTGAATGAGATCTGAATTGGATATTAGCCAAGGCTTTAAGGTCTTGATTAGCAAGTTCTTAGTTACTACAGCATGGGACTTAATATTTTACTCAAGTGTATGGAAGGAAAAAGCAGAAAAGGGGAGCAGCTTTATGGATGTTAATGAAGCTTTCAAGTTATCTCTGCATTCTTTTGTTTTTGATTTTTGGCTGCTAATTCCTTGGCAGTCACTACATGTATGTGAAGGAGTTTTATTAAATCTATAACTATGCGTTACCTTCTGGTGGCTGGATCATGGTGGACATGATCATAAATATATCTACTGTAATGATGGCACTTTAATTTAAAGTTGGTCTTTTTTTCTATTATGAAATGAAAACGTGGATGACTTTTTTTTATAAAATGTGAAAAATGATTTGATTTGATGCACTTGTTGGTTGTTCGTACTAGACATGTAGACAAGCATTAAACCTTCTGGGTTGGGTTCGCAAAAAGGAATTTATTTTTTATTTTTATTTACTTATTTTTTTAATTGAAATTATAGGTAAACTCCTTTCCCTTCCCTGCCCTATGGGAAGGATGTTCTTCCCATTCCCGCCACATTCTAGGCAGGTTCCCACAGGGATTGAGAGGAGCATGGAATTTTGCCATCCCTAAGCTGAAGTCACAATGATCGAGCAACTTTTCTTTTTCAAGTTGATGAATGGAAAGAAATGATCCTCCAATCATACCCTCAACCATTTAAAGACAAGTTATAAGCCCCTTAGCGAATACTCTTGGCCCAGGATTTGGCATTTCTTAATATGAATTTACCCACTCATTTTGTATCACTTGCAAATAGATTGACCTCAAGATATGCAAAAAAAAAAAAATACAAATAGTTGAGGTCAAAGTACTTCTACTTCAGAGAGATCAGACAGAAATTGAGAGCACTCTCCCACGTGCTCGATAACAAGCTCCTCCTAACCAATAGGTAACATGCATTTGAACTGGTAATTCAGTTGGTAAAGTGTCTCCCAGCTGAAGGTGTTGGATTCAAATTGTCCTTCCTCAATCCGAGAAAAGGTAACATACACATGAAGGGGGCCAGCTGAGCATGCCATGTCCAAGCAAATCTTGGAATGGTCCCACACCATCTTCATAAAGAATGAGTTTCCTTTTAAAGGATGTCTTTCTTGGGATGATCAAGACTCCAAATTTTAATGCATGATACTTTTTCTTTTTTCGGTGACAACTCATAACACTTGATACCATTCAGGAGAATGCAAATAACTTCCATTAGACAACACATAGCTCAGTATGGTTGCTGAATATTAAAGAATAATAATAAAAGCAATAAATGTTCATAATGAAGGATACTTATGACTCTTAACAATAAATGAACAGGACATGACAAATTTTTTTCTTACTTATGGGATGATTGGCATAACACAAAAAATGTGGCCGAAAATTTACCCAACCTCTCATAATGAAATTGCATCAAACATTTTTTCAGCCCTTGCGTATGTACAAGTCAGGGAAGAAATGGGTTGTGAGAAGGATTTGCCTCCTTTTGCTTTCTATAAGCTCTGAGTCAATGAATATAAATAACAGTCAAGACATAATGTAACAATCACTAAAAAGATTATAAGGATTACACTGATCAACTATATTGATTCTCACCTGGTGGCAATCAATCCCCCAAGTCCTACCGTTCCCAGAACAAGGAGAAGGAAAGGAACTCTAATCAAAGCATGATTTCTTCTTCCTCCACTAGCCTTTGGTACTCCTGTTCTGACAACATGTGCATATGTAGCTGAAGAAGAAAGATACTGTTTAAACGTCAACACAAAGAATGAATATCTCTCATATATGGGTTTAATATTTCATTTTCACATGAAGTTTACCTGAAGCTGAACCTTCTCGCCCTGCACCTGCAATGATAATTACATGGAGATTTAGTAGCACGCAAACAAGAGATTCTCATTTCAATCTTTCCCATCATAACAAAGCATGTCAAGTCATAAGCAAAAAACAAAGACAGATAGACTGTGATCATGGTTTGCAAACTCAATCCCACCTAAAATCATTTTGTGTATTCCATGAAGGTAAACATGACATCCATGAAAAAAAGACTAAAAAAGAAGTATAATTAATAGAGAGAGCATGGGCTAGATAGAATTCATTCTGTCCCAGCCACCAGACAAATACCTTACCTACAAAAGAATTTGCATCAACAGAGAAGAAGAGAAACCAAAATACAACCAGGTCAATAGAGAAAATATAAATAGCATTATTATATATCGCACACGAAACTTAAAGAGAGTACAAGGTAAATTGTTGTCTTTGACAACAAGAAATTACTTTCCCATCAATAAACCAATTATCATATATGGGTATTTCACAGCTTACTCCGAGTTTGATGAGCCACATAGAGATCAATTATTAATCTGTTAGATCATCATCAAAAAAATCAAGACTATCAGTGGTAACAGCTCCAGCAGCAGGATTAATATCCAAAGGTTCAACAAAATTGGTTATGACCATTTCTGAAGGTCCTCTTTCTTCATTCTCATGTTCATCCATATTGTCTCCCACAAATGTTCCACATCATTGTAAATAATCTCCTAAAGACAACAAAATCAGGAAGTGTGTCAACCTTCTTAGTAATTCTAAGGTGAAGACAAAGTTACCATATAAGATTGAAGATACACTAAAGATGTTCAAAGGTACCTCATTTTCTTGCATGGCTTGTTTCTCTGACTCCTCTGACTCCACAAGCCAGTCATCCAATATGTTTTCTAACATGGCACTATCAAAGGAAATCAACTTCATCAGGCTTTCTTCCAATTTGGCATTCTCTCAATTGCAAGTTGTCATGATCATCGGTATAACCATGCCACCTCTTTTGAGATAAACAGTTGTGCCTTCTGCTGTGAACTTCATCATAAATACTGTGAACTTCATCATAAATACTGTGAACTTCATCATAAATACTACAGGTATGCTCACACTCAAGTAATGACCATGTCTGGCTTAGAATTCATATGGCAATCCTTTGTAGCTCTAAGCACTTTATTCCATGTTATTGCCACCATGCAGCTACTAAGGACATAAAGAGAAATACAAATATATTTTGGAATAAATTTAACCTTTCATTGCAGGAAATCAAATTATTAATATAAATTCTTGACTAAACAAGCTACAAAATATCAAAGTTGAATTACCTGGATCAAGTTCGCTTCAGGTACTTATTGCTAAATCAGTGCCAAAATCAGCTTTTGTGCAAAATCAGGTATCTGAACATTAAAAAAAAAAATTTTTTTTTAAAAAAAAACACAATAATGATAACAAGAAATAAGAAAACCTTTATTGTCAGATAAAAGTGCCAGGTCATGAAATGCTTTGGTTCAGTAGACACTGTCTTTAAAATACCCTAGAAGCAAGCAATTTGCTATGTACTTCCCTACCTTCGCTATCATGTTAGAGTCAAAACATAAAGAGAATGAGAAACATACCTGCATTGATGATGAAATCCTTTTTCCATTGTTTGCTTCTAGTCGAATGATGCACTCATTTAGACCACATATTACTTCATGATTCTTCAGTAGTATGAAGGAAACATGAAATTAAGAGTGGCAGATTGGAAGATTTAACTAAAGAGAAAAAGGATAAACTCACTATTCCCATACCATTTTAAAATTTGAACAGTATTGATATGATTGATTGAGGAAGTATGCAGCAACATAAAGTGGATAGTGGAACAATGAGTTCCAGTCATTCTCAATAACACAAACTTATTTTCCAAAAAAAATAAAAATGTTAAAACAAATGCATTATCTGATTCCTGTATAGGCCATTTGAGAGTTTGCAAACCATGACACAATGAAGTACTCTTAATTTTCTAATAGTATACACTGAAAAAGGAGAATTACCAGGGAGCAGGCAAGTGTATGCTTCCGAAATCTGCAGAAAAAATTTACATCTATGAGTCAAACTCACTCCACACAAACTACTAAAGGCAACTAAACCAGATACTTCCGTACATCTCTACATGGTCCACCATAACTTCACATAATGATTCCCTTCAAAATTGAAATCCAGTGATCTAATGACAATGATAAATGACCAGACAATAAATCAAATCACTTATTGAGGCTGGCATCATCATGATTGAGTTCAACTATATCCCGATGCTCACATGGGAAGTGCTGGATTTTTCATACTACGAGATCATTACCGTTGTGAAAAATATAACAACATCTATTATCTAACCAACAATTTCATATTAGCTTAGAATGCAAGCATATGGAAACTACCCAATTATAAGACACCTGAGTGCATACCAATTTGAACTTTGACTCTGCCTGAGACTTCTCGTGAGCTGGAAACAGGTCAGGATGAGACTCCCATACTTTCTTCCTGTAAGCTGCCTTAATCTACCACGGAAAACTTATCATCAGTTTCATATTAACTCAAAGATGACAACTTTACAATTTGTATTCTCATAAAATAAATCAAATCCCTCTGAAATCAGTTCAATTGATCAAAGCAAGTAATTAAGCTACGCATTGAAACAGAAAATTCAAAGAATTCTATTATTCAATCTCCAGTGTACAACAGGGAAACTAAAAATTCAGCCAATTTTGATGCTGAATTGTTGCTATCATCAGATAGAAACCTAAATTAAGAATCAAAATTGTGGTAAACTGAAAGACAGAGCAGAGACATCGGCGGAGGTAAATGGATCGGAAATCAACCTGAGGGAGTGTTGGGCGAGAATCCGGGGAAAATCCTAGCAAAATCCTGGCCTCATCGCCCTGCATTTCTGTCCTGACCTGAGAGTGGTTGGAGCTCTTCTTCGTTTTTTAGTTTTGAGTATTGTTATTTATTTAAAAAAAATTAGGTTAAATCTTTAATTTGTTCCTGAACTATTGTATGAATTTTTTATTTGGTTCTTAAACTAAAAAAATTTTTAATTTGATCTCTAAACTATTCTACAAATTCCTGATTTGGTTTCTACTGTTTACCAATTTGCCCAAAGTTGATTATTTTATACAAAAACAACTGACGTGTCTCATTATTAATATGACACGTGACCGTTAAGTTATTATTTTTTACCGTTAAGTTACTATTTTTCACCATTAAATACTAGACATCAGTTTTTTTTGTACGAAAAGACTAGTTTAGGATAAATTGATAAACAGCAAGACTAAATTGGAGGTCCGTACAATAGTTCAAAATTAAATAAGAGATTTTTTTAGTTCAAGAACCAAATTAAAAGTCTATATAATAGTTTAGAGACCAAATTAAAAATTTAACCAAAAAATTACTACCATACCGTCCCAACTCCCAACTCCCAACTCCACGATTTAAAATTTAAAGAATTAAATGAGACACCTCAAAAAGTGTGGTTTGGTTATTATTGTATTTTAAATAATTAATGTTATATTTTTTAAGAAAAATATATATTAATTTGA